TYCCMMTGCCAGAGGGCAGRGTTCAGATGGGATATTGGGAGGAAATTCTTCCCAGAGCAGCTGTGGCTKCCCCTCAATYCCTGGCAGTGCCCAAGGCCAGGTTGGATGGGGCTGGAGCAGCCTGGGACAGTGGGAGGTGTCCCTGCCATGGCAGGGGTGGCACTGGATGGGCTTTAAGTTAAGGTCCTTTCCAACCCARACCAGTCTGGGATTCCATGAAGTCTTTTAGTTTAATTTTTAGTTGCAAAAACACTCATTTCCCTTTTTTTTCAAACAGGTTAAGGAGACAAGAAGAGCAATGAAGGATTCTGAAAGTGGCTTGGAGAAAATGGCCATTGGTCACCACCTCCAGGATCGGGCWCATGTCATCAAAAAATGCAAGAACTCCAAGACTGGGGATGAGGAGATGAACCAAGAATTCATCAACATGGATGAAGGTWGGACTTTCTAGGCAGTTAATGGGCTTTACACTGTTTTGCACTGATTTTGAAGCTCCAGTTTGATCTTAAAAGGGACTTTTAGGATGAAAGTCTCCAAATCTCTTTTACAGATCCCCAAAAACATGGAGAACTGCAGAGCACAAAGTTTAAAATCACAACTCAAAATCCCTAAATGTTTTTCCTGTCTTTATTAACATCTCCAATAAATGTATCTGTTTTTCAGCTGAGGCTGACACCTTTGATGAGGAGTGGCAGAGRGAGATCATGAAGTTCAGGCCTTGCCGAAGCAGAGGAGCCGTGGAAGCTCCAAGATCCAGAAGTACCCATTACAGTCCCAGGGAAAACAGATCAAGAAGGTAAAAAATAATTCCCTGCTATCCTCCAGGATAAGGCAATTCCAGCAGCAGAAGGAAAATCCAGTTCTAGAGCAATGGTGGTCATGAGCAGCCAATTCTGCCTTGGCAACCTGAGGGAGAGCTGGAGGGTTTATCCCTCCTTTTTCCATGGAGATTGTGATCGTGRTTGTTGTTTTTCCAGAGAGAAGCCACTTGGAGCTCCAGGATCCAGAATGCCCAAGGATTCTTTGGAAGCTCTCAGTGTGAAAGGAACACACGTTCCCCTGAAGAGCTCCAGGAAATAACTGTCCCCATTCCCTGGGGATGGAGATTGATGGTGCTCAGCGCTCGTGTCCGTACAAATACACCCGGATTTGTGACCAATCTCTGTTTTGTGTTGTGCCTTTGCTCCTCCTGCTTCTGAATGTCTGTCAAACCTCAGCTCCTCAATTAACACTTCAGCTCCTCAGTCAATTAAAAACCATCTGCCTAAAAGCACTTTATGGATCAGCTSTGATTCTGTTCAAAACAGCTTTGATTTGCAATTTTTCTGCTCCAGCTGCATCAATCTCAGGCTTTACTAAGCTTGGTACTGCAGCTCCTCCTTCCCACTTTAAAGTTGCACAGAAAAATAGATTTCCTTTATTTTGGGTTGCTGAAATAATGGTTGAGTTTCTAGGTTAATTAATAGAATTTGAATACACTATTAAGCACTTTTATCTATCACTTTAAAATTGTAAATTGTTACAGAATCTCCACATTCACCTTGGTTTGAAGGTGGAGGAAATACTGAAATATGASAATACTTTCAATTTATCAGAATTTGGATGTTTATAAGCTGTGCTTGCACCTCGTTTCCTGTGCCTGAACTGTCAACTTTGTAWTCCTGATCCTTTGTATGTTTTCTTTGGAGTTGGCCTGTCATTTTTCATTTGAGGATTGTCTGTAGCAGCTTTTAATTACCCTSTAGTAATTAACAGTGTCCTGAGATCAGCTACAGCTAGGAGTTATTCATGGGAAAAATATGTGGGAGAAATGAGTTTAACTGGAATGATTTCACCATTTCTTGTGTTCTAAAGAGCCAGGAGAGRTCTGGATACAGGAACCCATCTCCCCTCACTGTGTTCTTTGTTTTACTGAGTGTAGAATGACCCTAAATCTGTGTTTGATTTGAGTCTAGAAGAGCCCACAGTGTCTGAGAGCAGGAAAATCCTGGTATTTCAGGTGCTCTGTCACACAGAATTATCCCCATGGTGTAACATAAAGAATTTCTGTAYATTAAATAACATGAAATCATATAAATTAATTTAATATCATTAAAGCATTACATAGATTCATGTCTTCATTATAATGTAGCCCTAAAAAGCACTMTTTGTATGATAAAAGAAAATAGGATGTTTTCAGTTAGAAGTAATATTTGTTTAGCCAAAAAGCCTTTAAATCATATTTAATCTTCTTGCAGTTTTCCCAGATTATTTAATTTTAATTAATGAATGTATATTAATATGCAAATGCAATCAGCTGCACTTTTGTTGAGCTCTGAAGAGGGAGGACAATTATTTGCTTGTTACTGCAGTGGTCTCTTCCTGAATTAGAGAGGTATCAGTAGCAATAAGTTGATGTGATCAATATTAATGGCAATAATTTAATTATTKATGAACCATTTAATGAGCACTGAAGATATGTAGGGGTTGGGGGGGCTCTGACACCCCCKAAAGTCAGAGCACAACCCGGGGGCTCATTTCCCATACACTGGAGACAACGTGGATTTTGCAATAATTTATTGGAGCATCTTCTCAGTAATTAACAACAGCAAAGTTTTCTATGTTGGAACTTGAGCAGGAATCTTGGAGCGCTGCTGTTGAATGGAAAATTCACCTGACAACTCGGATTTTTGTGTGAAACCAAACCAGCACATCCTTRGGTTTTGGAATGCCAGTGGGAAGAGGTGAATATTCCCCACAGAYCCCTTTGCTCAGCCAAGACTGTTCTCCATGTGAGGCACGAGTTGTGCTCTGTACAATCACCTGAAACTGCAATTCTTGAATAAAGTTATTTATTATTGATGGGCTTTGTTGGTTTATTCTGCACCACAGAGGRACTCAGGTGTTGTTTTGTTTGGTCTACTCTGAACAATGCAGTGAAGGACACCTGGGCCGTGGGAACTGTCCCTGCCCTTGGAGAGGTGGGATGGGGTGGGATTGAAGGTAACCATTGTGGGATTCTGTGGGAATTCCTGTTTCCAGAGATAAGCATGCATTCACCACAAAAAAATAAACCGATGGAAGGAGATGGTGTGGAGAGGGCCAGGCTCACTCTGCTTCAGAGCTGCTCCTGGAGTCTTTGCTGATGTAAAAGACAGTACCTGGTTTATCCTAATCCTGGGGAATTGTTTTTCCATGGAGAATATATTGTTTTAACGTTTACCAACATGTTCGACCCTGTGTCCCAGCCATCCTCCAGCATCCTAAGCTTGTCTTCCCCTTTCCCTGCACTTCAGGCCTGGCTCTGGCCAGGGAGTTCCGCTCTCCGGTTGTTCCTAATTCCCAATAATCCCCAAACTCCTGGGGCTCCGTCCCGCTCCACGGGCTGGGTGAAATCCGCCCCTTTCTGGCCGCAATTGGGGAATTCCGCAATCCCCAGGGCTGGGTGAGGATGGGGATCCCTGAGGGGATCAACCCGAGGGTGCCCCGGGCTGGGGGCGGTGGGATCCCCCTGTGCCATTCCCGAGGATCCTGGGCTGGGTTCAGTGGGATCCCCCTGTGCCATTCCCGAGGATCCCGGGCTGGGTTCAGTGGGATCCCCCTGTGCCGTTCCCGAGGATCCCGGGCTGGGTTCAGTGGGATCCCCCTGTGCCGTTCCCGAGGATCCCGGGTTGGGTTCAGCAGGATCCCCCTGTGCCGTTCCCGAGGATCCCGGGCTGGGTTCGGTCAGTGGGATCCCCCTGTGCCGTTCCCGAGGATCCCGGAGTGCGGTCAGTGGGATCTCCCTGTGCCGTTCCCCGGGTCCCATTCCCGCCCCGGAGCCGCCGCTGCCCTGAGGGGCCGGGGGGGATCGGGCGCGGCCGCGGCGCCTGCGCGGGGCTCCGGAAGGGGCGGGAGCGACCCGGGGCGGGACCGGGATTGGAGCCGGCATTGGAACCGTGACCGGAGCTGTGACTGGAGGCGTGACTGGGGCCGTGACTGGAGCTGTGGCCGGAGCCGGGGCCATGCTGAGCGTGTTACGGGCCGGGCTGGCCCCGGGCCGCCCGCGGCACCTGCAGGTAGCGGCGGCGGGAGCGCTCCGGGCCCGGGGGGCGAGGGGACAGAGCCGGGAGAGGAAAGGATGGAGGGGAGGGCGGAGAAACAGCCCGGGAAGGGCCGCGGCAGCTGCGGGAACGGCAGCGCTCGGTCACATGGATGGGGACGGGGATGGGACACCGGGAATGAGCAGCGGGACCGGCGGGGAGAGCTCCGAGGTGACCCTGGAAAGGCCGCTCGGATTTACGGGACCGATTCGCCATAGACTGACAGAAGCCTTAGGGAAGCGGTTTGGCAGTTTATCCATGGGCCAGTGAATCCTGGGATCAGTTACGTTGGAAAAGCCCTCCAGGGTCATTGAGTTTAAGCTGTGCCCGATGCCCAGCTTGTCCCCAGCCCAGAGCACTCAGTGCCATCTCCAGCCCTTCCTTGGTGCGCACTCCAAACCTCCCTGAGCAGCCCCTGCCAAGGCCTGAGCACCCTTTCCATGGGGAAACTCCTCCTGATGTCCATCGTGCCCCTCCCCTGGCCTGAGGCCCTTTCCCCTTGTCCCACCCCTGTCCTGTGAGCTGTTTTGATCTGCTCCTGGCTGACCCAGGGCCCTTTGCTTCCCTTGCAGCTCCTCCTGAGCTCCTGCAGACACTGCTCCTCGGCGGTTCTTCCCAACGAGAGGATCCGCAACATCGGCATCTCGGCSCACATCGACTCTGGCAAGACCACGCTGACAGAGAGGATCCTGTTCTACACGGGCAGGATYGCACAGATGCACGAGGTGGGGCTGAGCTGCCACCGAGCACTTGTTGGGAATTGTTCACTTCCATGTGGTGCTGCTCAAGAGATGATGCTCGGTCCATGCAGCATCACTGCTGCACGGGGATTCACAGAACCGTGGAATGGGTTGGGGTGGGAGGGACATTAAAGCCCTCCAGTGCCACCCCTGCCATGGCAGGGACACCTCCCACTGTCCCAGGCTGCTCCCAACCCCGGCCAACCTGGCCTTGGACACTACCAGGAATGGGACATTTCAGGGAATTCTTAGCAAACTCCTTAAACTCTTTTTATTTCCCTAAGGTGAAAGGCAAGGATGGAGTTGGCGCTGTCATGGATTCCATGGAGCTGGAGCGTCAGCGTGGCATCACCATCCAGTCTGCAGCCACGTACACCATGTGGAAGGACACCAACATCAACATCATCGACACGCCAGGTCAGGGCAGCCTGAGCCTGGGGAGTGCTCTGCTCAGGGATGGGGGATGGGGTGCATCTTTGTGTCCTTTGGCTGCAAGGACAGAGAGTGATGGGTTCAAACTCTCACRGGAGGAATTTAGAYTGGATATTGGGAAGGAATTGTTCCCTGGSAGTGCCCAAGGCAGGCTGGACMCTGGGCCTTGGAGCAGCCTGGGACAGTGGGAGGTGTCCCTGCCCATGCCAGGGTGGGGATGGATGAGCCTTAAGATCCCTTCCCACCCAAACCATTCCCTGACTCTGCTCCATCTCTGGAGCTCCTGTAAATCTGCACGATTCCCTTGGCTGTTGCTCCTTTCCAGTGCATTTATCATTTTTATTTTTATTTGTTTTCCAGGTCACGTGGACTTCACTATTGAGGTGGAGAGGTCCCTGAGGGTTCTGGATGGAGCCATCCTGGTTCTCTGTGCCGTGGGAGGGGTCCAGTGCCAGACCATCACTGTCAACAGGCAGATGAAGCGTTACAACGTCCCCTTCCTGACCTTCATCAACAAACTGGACAGGATGGGCTCCAACCCGGCCAGAGCAGTGCAGCAGCTCAGGTTCTTGGCCTTTATAAATTCCTGAATTTCACATGGCAGGTCATTATTGGTGCTATTGGAAAGGCTTCTCTTTGGAGCTGCACTTTGGAGAATTCCTGACCAGAGGTTAAATCCTGATCTGACCCAGAACAAACCTCCACTGTCYCAAAACCCCCAAATATTGGTGTCAGCCAGGACTTGCAGTGACCAGAGCGGGGCTCTGRTGTTTGTTTTGTTGATGGAACTGTCTCAGGAGAGCAGCCTCTTAGTTTTCCTGGGATCCTGGTGCTGCTGGAATTCCTGGAGTCCTGTTTGCTCATTGTCTTTCTCTGCCTCTTTTGGTCCATGAGATGAACTCATGAATATGCATGAACGAGTTGTTTCTCCCTTGATGAAACAATCCATCTGCAGCTGCTCCCTTGGGATACCAAGGGCTGGAGCCACCTAAACCACAACTGGGTGCTTTTCCTCAATATGGGCAGATTTGGGCCCTGTCCAAAGGACAAACCCCAGGGGTTTTGTGGGATTGGGGTTGCTCAGAGGCCATCTGGAGCACACATACAGAAATGACATTTTTCTTCAATAATTCCTGTTTTCTCCCTTTTTCAGATCCAAATTGAAACACAATGCAGCTTTTGTTCAGATTCCAATCGGGCTGGAGGGAAACTTTAAAGGAATTATAGACCTCATTGAAGAGAAAGCAATCTACTTTGATGGGGCACTCGGGTCAGTCCTGGAAATCGCTTCTTTTCCAGCTGGAGCTGCTCTTTGCAGGAGGAATTCCTGTAGTTTCTCTTCAGAGATGAAACTCAGCTCTGGAAATTTGGGAGTGGGCTTGTGCTGGGGCTGAGGATCCCTGCAGGGAGCTCTGGGTGGGGTGTTGGTTGCTGGGAAGGGGTGGTGGCCACATTTCCCACCTGGAGAAGCCAGAGGCTGCTCCCTAATGGGATCTGGCAGGATGTGGGGCTCTCTGGGATGAAGATAAGGTGTGGGGGAGGCTGCTGGGAGGTTTTCCTGATCCTACAAACTCCTGCCAGGAGCGGGAAGGACTCTCCCACATCAGAGATCAGCGCTGATGCTCWCTGGGGATTTTCCCCAGGATCCTTGGAAGGGGAAGCTGTTCTGAGGCAGGGAGGGAGGGCTGATCCCTGTGTTGTCCCTGGGAATGACCCCATTCCCCGTGTGCAGGCAGACCCTGCGGTTTGAGGAGATCCCGGCCGAGCTGCGCGCGGAGGCGGCCGAGCGGCGTCGGGAGCTCATCGAGTGCGTGGCCAATGCTGAYGAGCTCCTGGGAGAGCTGTTCCTGGAGGAGAAAATCCCCACGGCTGCCCAGCTGAAGGTACCTCCCTTGTGCTGGCTGTCCCCTCAATGTCTCTGTGCCTGGCCCCTGTTCCTCAAAGAATCCATCAGGAATTCTGTGTCACCGCCTCACCCAGGGAGCGCCCATTCCCAGTTTGGTTTCACTTTGTGTTGGAAGGAATTCTGGGGAGCAGCTTTTGTGGGAAGCCCTCGTGGGAAGCTGGGTGTTGTCCAGGGTGCTGTGGGAGCAGCTCCTTGCTCCAGGAAGGACAGGGACAGGGGCTGTGCTGTGCTGCAGGATGTTCACAGGGATGTTTTCCAGCTGGCGATCCGAAGGGCGACGCTGCAGAAATCCTTCACCCCCGTGCTGGTGGGAAGTGCTCTGAAGAACAAAGGGGTGCAGCCCCTGCTGGATGCTGTCCTGGAATAYCTCCCCAACCCTTCTGAGGTGCAGAACTATGCCCTTCTCAACCAGGGGTGAGTGCAGCCAGGAGAACTGGAYGGGSTTGAAGGTYCCTTCCCTTCCCAAACCATCCCAGGATTCCATGGAATAGTTTCAGAGCAGGAAACATTCCTGACAGGATCCACAATCATTTACCATTTGTATCCAGTGATGGCACCAGGATTGGCATGAACTCCCCCAAGTCCCACAGCTCCTCTCCTGTTTGAGGGTTACTTTCTGTGCTGGGATTTTAACACATTCAGTGTTCATTTGGACAATAATTGTGAGATAATTCTYTGGAATTGATGGCAGCCCGTAAAGCCAGGCCTACCTGGAGGAGGCAGCACATCCCAAAAGTGGAAATAATGTTTTATTTTATGGACATGAATCCCAGAATCCCTAAGGCTGGGAAAGAGCCCCAGGATTGAGCTGTGCTCAATCCTCCATTTGTCTCCAGCCCAGAACTCTGAGTGCCATTCCTGGGACACCTCCAGGGATGGGGAATCCAAACCTCCCTGGGCAGCCCCTGCCAAGCTCTGAGCACCCTTTCCATGGGGAAATTCCTGCTGATGTCCCCCCTGTCCCTCCCCTGGCCCAGCCTGAGGCCGTTCCCTCTCCTCCTGTCCCTGTCCCCTGGGAGCAGAACCCCCCCAAGGTGTGGGACCCCCAACATCAGAGCCAGCAGATGTTCAGAGGGGTCTCCTGTGTTTCTTCCTCCCCTCATCCCCCTCTCATCCCTGTTTTTAAGGGATTCTGAAGACCAAACCAAGTTCCTGTTGAAGTCTGCTCGTGACAATTCCCAACCTTTTATCGGCCTTGCTTTCAAACTGGAGGTGAGTCTGACTCTGTTCCTTCCCACAAGCTGTGGAGAGTCCCAGCAGTGCTTCCAAAACTCACACAGAACGAACTTTAAAWTCAGTTCATGTTTAAAATATTTCTATTTAACTCCAGTTGGAATGTAACTTATTTTAAAAATGGCTTCAACCATAAAATCCACAAATGCTGCCAGTTTGGAAGTTTAAAATGGGTTCTGGACCTCAAACCTTTCCTGGTTTCTTAACTAAAACTTGACCATTTGGTGCGTTTTTGGCTTAACTGGAATACTTTCAGGGAAAAATCCTGGGTTTGGAAAAAGTGGGACATGAGAGAGTCACAGAGGAAAAGGGCAGAGCTTTAAGCAAAAAGTTGTTTTTTACCTAAATAGCAGCCCCTCAGGATTCCAATGGAAAATGGCTGTCCAAATCCCATGGTAATGTGTGTCTCTCTTGGGAAGGTTTGGGAGTGACAAAATTAGTCCAGGAAACCCYAAATCCCATTGCAGAGCCAAGTGAAAGCTGTTTAAATCCTCCCTTTCCATCTGCAGTGTGGAAATCCAAACCACACGTGGTCAGTGCAGCTGGTGCTGGGAGCTGGTGTTGATTCCCAGAAGGAGCTGATCTGTTTGTTTTTTTGGATTTTCTTGCAGGCTGGCAGGTTTGGGCAGCTGACTTATGTGAGGGTGTACCAGGGCATGCTGAAGAAATCTGATTACATCTACAACACACGCACGGGCAAGAAGGTGCGGGTGCAGCGGCTCGTGAGGATGCACTCGGACACCATGGAGGTGAGAGCACCCCTGAGCACCCCTGAGCACCCCTGAGCACCCCTGAGCACCCCTGCCAGCCCTGGGTGAGGCTCTGGGTGATGCCCTGGGTGCCTCAGGACTGCCTGAACCACACGGTGCTCTTTGCTGCCTCACCAGTTTGCCTCTTGTGGTTTAATCCTGAGCTGAACCAGGCTGGCAGCCACGCTGAGCTCTCCTGTGAATAATGAGGGAGAAAGTTTGCAGGGCATTTCAGCCAGGCTGGAATTTCCAGAGGAGCTCAGGGTCAAGCTTTAAAGCACTGTGTTTATGGATCTTCTACAGCCCAGGTGTGGTTTGTGAGTCAGGGAAGGACAGAATCAATCCTGGAATGGTTTGGGATKGAAGGGACCTTAAAGATCCATTCCCACCCCTAWYCCAMACCTCCCACTGTCCCAGGGTGCTCCAAGCTATCCAGCCTGACCCTGGACACTTCCAGGGATCCTGAGCAGGAATTTTTCTTCCCTCAGGATGTGAATGAAGTTTATGCTGGAGACATCTGTGCCCTGTTTGGGATCGACTGCGCCAGCGGGGACACGTTCACGGACAAAACCAGCACAGACATCTCCATGGTGAGCCCCTGCCCTGCCCTGCCCTGCCCTGCCCTGGCTGCCTCAGCACTGGGAGGCACTGGCCTTTTGCTGTCATTTGTAATCACCAGGATTTGGCTGGAATTTATCACCAGAATTTTGCTGTCATTTGTTATCACCAGGATTTTGCTGKMATTTGTTACCAYCAGRATTTTSSTGTMATTTGTTACCATCAGGATTTTGGTGTAATTTGTTCCCATCCTCTCTCCCTTCCCCAYTGCAGGAATCCATCCAYGTCCCTGATCCTGTTATTTCTGTGGCTATGAAGCCTTCCAACAAGGTAGGAGCCTATGGATCAACCTYTTCTCCCTGAGCTCCTTCCCTTTGCTGCTTTATGATTTTATGGAGCACTGTTTCCAAGTGTTTWATCCCAAATAATTAGGATTTTATCYSTTGGATAAGCCAGGGCTGARTTGMATGGTGTCACTCAGCCAGAAATTCCAACTTGAAATACATCATAATTAACACTTTAATATAGAAATGTTTCATTAAATAACCCCAAGGAGCAGAAATGCTCAGCAGTGGGTAGGAAAATCCAGGCCTTTTTCCTTGGGATCACTCCTGGATGTTGTGAATCTTGGCTCGTGTCTGTGTTTCAGAATGACCTGGATAAATTCTCCAAAGGCCTGGGCCGCTTCACCAGGGAAGATCCCACCTTCAGGATCCACTTTGACGAGGAGAGCAAGGAAACCATTGTGTCTGGGATGGGGGAGCTGCACCTGGAAATCTACGCCCAGGTAAGTGGGGAAGCAATTCCATGGACTCTGCTTTTGCTTTTCCCATCTTTTCCTCCTCCTCCCTCTTCCTTCTAGCTGCTCAGGGAAAAGTTAACTTTCAAGTCAACTTTTGATGCTCCTTTCTCTCCAGTGGTTCTGTTTTGAAGGCTTCTAAAAGGAAATTTTGCCTGAAATATTTTTAGGATTTGGTTCAAATGCATAAGAAGTGCATTGAACACTATTCTTTGCTCTAGCAGCCTTTGTTTATCATTAATATTATGAATTAATTATCATTAATTTCTGCAGAGAAGTGCTATTTCTGTGGCTTTAAATGTACCATTCCATAATAAAAGCTGGTGTAGGGAGCAGGAAATAGTTACAGAGATTTGTTTTATTCCAAGTGATGTTTGTTTTTTACCCTAACACAAAAGACGCATCTTAAATATTGACAGAATGAAGAAAAAGTGACTTTTGCCTTGAAAAACTGAAACTTTAATAGAATAATTAATGTTATTTCCATTGCTTTAATAGAATAATTAATATTATTTCCATTACTTTAATAGAATAATTCAAGTTATTTCTTACACAAGGTTGACAGTGAAACATTTATACCATTTAAAAACCCAACAAAAAGCGCCCAAAATCAATCCAGCATTAACCCTGATTAAATTAATAATTCCACTGAATTGCTCCAATGGAACAGCCCTAATTCATGGTGGTTTTTTTTTTCCCTGCAGCGAATGGAGAGGGAGTATGGTTGTCCTTGCACCATGGGGAAGCCCAAAGTTGCCTTCAGGGAGAACATCTCTGCCCCTGTGCCGTGAGTATTCCTGCTGGGAATTGTTGGGTTAATTCCCTTGGGTGTAGTGAAGGTGTCTTTGGAATTGAGGGATCAGAAACACCAGGAAAATCCTGTTTGATGTYTCTGTGCCTTGTTTGAGTGCCAGTGCTGTCCCTGCCTTTGTGGAGCCCCCCAGGTCACCCCAGATCCCTCAGGCGCTCCCCGGTCCCGCGCTGTGTCTGTGCTGCCGTCGCTCCCGGGACACTCGGGCCCCGTGCTGGGGGTGCCACAGCACTGTCACCTCCCAGGGCATCACCTCCTGTGGGGGACACACACTCTGAGCACCCCTGCTGCCCTCTGAGCACCCAGAAAATCAGGGATGAAACCCTGTGGGGAACGGGGACTGCAGGGCATGGCAGGGACATCCCTGGATTATTACAATCAAAGCTTTGCTGCCCAATTTTCCATGTTTTTCTTACAAAAACCCTTACTCAGATCCCAAACTGTTGCTGGAGAGTGGCACAGGATGTAAGGGCTGTTCTGGGTGCCAGTTTCTGCTGGGAGTTACTGGGATTGATGGGGCTCTGTACTGGGCTGTCCTGGGGCACGGGGCACCCACAGCTCAGCTGGAACTGAGCTGAGCATCCCAAATGCTGCAGCTGCCCCTTCCCTTCATCCCAAATGCTGCAGCTGCCCCTTCCCTTCATCCCAAATGCTGCAGCTGCCCCTTCNCAGCTGCCCCTTCCCTTCATCCCAAATGCTGCAGCTGCCCCTTCCCTTCATCCCAAATGCTGCAGCTGCCCCTTCCCTTCATCCCAAATGCTGCATCTGCCCTTCCTCTTCATCCCAAATGCTGCATCTGCCCTTCCTCTTCATCCCAAATGCTGCAACTGCCCCTTCCCTTCATCCCAAATGCTGCAGCTGCCCCTTCCCTTCATCCCAAATGCTGCAGCTGCCCCTTCCCTTCATCCCTGCCCATGTGTTTGAGCCTCAGCCATTCCCAAGAAAGCCCAGAAACAGCTGGGAATTGCTGCTGTTGTCCCTGGGATACCGAGACAGGCAGGGCTGGTGACCCTRAGTAGGATCAGATCCCTGTCTGAGCTGGAGCTCACACAGCTGGAATCTTACAACACCCGAAAAAAGAGTTTTTAGGCATAAAATTATTTACCTGGGACACCATTTCGTGGAGCAGAACCACATAGTCAAACTGAAGGTCTTCATCACTTCTTTTCTGGAAAGACAGGATGGAAAGGGGTGAATTTGGGGATTCTCCCACCTACARAGTGACTCAGTTCCCTGTGTTCTTACAAAAATTCCCTGATGTGCAGCTCCTGGTAACAAATAACAAATTAATTTCTGTGGGCTCCCAAACTGCACTGGAGACACTGAATGTAAAGTTTAAAACTGCTAATCCCTGCCTTAAAGAGACCTGATCTAGCAGGAATTCTTTGGGATGGGAACACCTCGTTCTACAAGGTGTCAGTTTAATCCAAATAATCCCAAATAAAACTGTCAGTGGGATAAGAACACATTGCAGTGTTACAGTGGGTGACAGCTGTGGACTCTGAGTGACAAAATACACCCTGGCCTTTGGAACAGACTCTTTTCAGTGTATTTTTCAGGGAATAAGGGAGAAAATTACCCAGGAGAGATGGCAGCTGGGTTAATAATAGTCAATATTTCTTTGTCTTCTTTATCCTTAAATTTGTTAAAGAGGGGTTTAAGCAACCTTTAAGCAGCCCTGCAGCAGCTGTGAAGTGCTCTAGGATGCCATCAGAGGGAGCAAAACGTTCACAAATCCTGCTCTCACAAGGAATTCCTGTCTTTCATACCCAGAGCTTCCTGGGAATTCACTTCTGTTCAGAGCAGGTTTTCTGAACACTAAATGCTGCTGCTCTTTCCTGGCTCCTGTGTGACTTTAAAGCTGTGATCACCTCAGGGTTATTCTGAACTCAGAATGGATTTTCTCAAATAGAGCAGAGAAAATCTGGGAGAATCTCCAGAATTCATTTAATTTATTGGCCTTGCCACAACTGCTTAACTCTTAAATGCTGCTTTCCATGGAGGCTGGGTGGGCTTGGAGCACCCTGGGCTGTGGAAGGTGTCCCTGCCCCTGCAGGGCTGGAATGGGATCAGCTTTAAGGCCTTTCCAGCCCAAACCAGTGTGGGATTGTGTGCCTGCTGGTAACTCACCACTTGCTTCACGTGTTTCACTTGGGCAAGGTGGAACTTGGTGTTTTCTGTGGAATTCTGCCAGATCACRTAGCCAGAGGCTGCCCAGGCCAGCAGGTGGATGGGCTCCAGCTCTGGGGGAATGTTCCCGTGGCTGTCTGGAACCAAAATAAACACTGGATGTGAGACAGAGCCATTAGCAGGACATTATCACCTCACAGGCCTTGCAGCTCAAGGCCCTCCTGTCATAAAGCCTGGCACAGGGCGTGGAAGAGCTGCTCCATCACCAGAATTTTCCTTCCACTTTACAGAATCCCGGAATGGTTTGGGTTGGAGGGACCTTGGAGCCCACCCAGTGCCACCCCTGCCATGGCAGGGACACCTCCYSCTGTCCCAGGSTGCTCCAAGCTCCATCCAGCCTGGCCTTGGGCACCTCCAGGGTGTTCTCCTCCATTCCTTCCCTCAACAAAAATCCCAGAACGTCCCAAAGGCAGGGATGGCTCTGAGGTGGGAGCAGACCCCATTGAGCATTCGGGGTGTTGGATGTGCAGTGCCAAGGACACCCTCAGACTGAGCAGAGAGGTTTTCCAGAACATTCCAGTCCCATCCCAAAATGAGCCATAAATGCAGCAGTTGTGAGTGGCAGAACCCAGACAGAGAAAGAGAAGCAGCAGCTCTCAGGTTGGGTGAAGGCTGACCCCTCTCACAGCCCGTGGCTGTACCTGGGATGTTCTCAGCCACCAGCTCCTGTTCCAGGCTCCTCATTCGGTTGTAGAATTCCTGATCTGCCTCCTGTGTGCTCCTGAGCTCTCCTTGCACGCTGACCTGCACGTCTGGAGCGCTGCCTGTGCTGCCCAGGGGATAGAGCACCTCGGCAGAGCAGCTCACAGTCCTGTCCTGGTGCACAATTAGTGATGGTCGTTATTATTTGTGATTAATACAGGTACAGTCAGGGTCATTGACACTTCTGAAATGTGATTTTTAGTGCAGTTGCTGTTTGCTCCGAGTCTGGCCTGTAGAGATTTGAGATTATTTGAGATAAATTAAATTTGTGGTGTTTCTGTGGATGTTGAAGGGTGGGATTTGCTTTCTGCAGTGATGGGGTGTGGAGTGTCCCTTGTGCTATTCAGTTGTGAGTGACACTGAAATGTCCTTTTGTCCCTCCAGCACTGTCTGGTGTTGYAGTGGAAGGTACCACATGGTCAGTGGGTTCCTTTTTGGTTAAAATTCAGCCTTTTTTTTAGCCTGATGGGCAGTACAGAAAAATCAGA